TTTTTTTTTTTTTTTAACTCACACTATAATGGCAAATTACCATTTTCCGTTTTTTTTTCAGAAAAAGTTAAAATTTTTCCCGGGTTTCACAAAACAAAAATGTAAAAATACAGAGTTTTGACTAAAGTGTATGATGGACCGGATTTTTATCTGACTTCATATTTCTCTCTTTCTTTTTTTCCTTTTCTTTTCTTCTTTTTTTCTTTGGAACTCTCTTTGGATTCCCTTAAGTCCAGCCGCCTTTTGATTGTTATAGAGGAGAGGAAGCAGGAGGTGGCAAGGTGATCTTCAGTCGCCTTTAGGGACCATCCGAACGCCACTACCACCGTTTGGATGGTAGAGCTTTGCTGGACCTTTATCTTTTTGATGTGTTGATTCTTCATTGTTTAAATTATACTTTGATCCCTTGTCCTTTTAAGCTTTGACAATTTATTCTTCGTATTCTTCATTATTTCTACATTAACCCCTGAAATTTTAAACATAATATACATCACCCTAATTTATGCACAAAACCCTAATTGACTATAATTGATAGTTTTTAGCTATTTTATCATACTAATTTAATTCATTTAACTATTCTAATTTACATATTAATTAGAGTTAGTCAGTAGGTTTTGTCATCGTTCTACCGATAGGTTTTGCCCAGAAACGCCAGAAAGCTGCAATCTCAACTCCAACTGCTTCATAGGCCCACTTTCGCTTTCCCCACACATCCCCTGACATATTCTACATACAAGCATGCTCTCTTACACCTAAGGTCTAACTTTGAAAGAAGAAACATGGAAGGGGAAGAGAGAGAAAAATAGTGGTTGGGGAAGCTTGGAAAAGGCATGGCATGGTCTATCCTTGCCTGGACAGTTGTCCAATCCCTTCCCAATGATGGTAAGTCAGCTCTCACAAACCTTAGGGGGTGATGGATGAAAATGAAGACATTCCAACACCATTAATCAGCTACCCACACACACTTTTAGAGAGAAAAGCTCAAGGAAGAAGATGAAGTTAGAGAGAAAGTTGGGTTTTCATTATTTCTTCACCATTTTCAGTGTTGTAAGCTTTAATGTACTTGTAATCTTTCCCCTTTNGAAGATGAAGTTAGAGAGAGAAAGTTGGGTTTTCATTATTTCTTCACCATTTTCAATGTTGTAAGCTTTAAATTACTTGTAATCGTTTCCCTTTTAATTTTTAACTCTTTCATTCAAGTGGTATGCAAGCTTAGCTAAGTGTTTTTAGCATTTCAATTTCTACATTTGGGTATTTGCTTTTAATATTTGTATTTTGGTCATGAATGCTATTTCACTTGCATTTTAACTCTTTTCTTTCATTAATACAAGTTCTATGCTCCATTTCTCTTCCATGTTTCTTTACTTTGTGTTGAACTTTCCTTTTATTATGAGTAGCTAAGTTTTTAGTTGGCTAATCCGAGAGAGATTTCCTCTTGGGTATGATAAATCAACTCTAATCCATTCTTCCTCATAGTATAAAGTGCTTGGTTTGACCAGGTTGAGTGTGGACGTGGTTGTGAGCTTTTAATACATCATATATTTGTCACGGGGTATGCTTGAGTCTACATCTCCACATTAGTCCCATACTTCCTACAAATTAATCAAGCACCGAGACACCATTGGTAGAATGCATTGAGTTGATTTCACATTTCCATTGGAATTACCTCATCGGATTAGCCAATCTTGCTTTCATTGCACTTTTATCAAAAAAGTTCACTCACCAAAACACAAAACTACAAGATTTTACACTTTTCATTTCTTTACAAAATCACCTTCACCACAATTCGACCAACTTTCCNACAAGATTTTACACTTTTCATTTCTTTACAAAATCACCTTCACCACAATTCGACCAACTTTCCCTGAGGAGACGACATTGGAATACCCATTCCAAGTAAAACATAACACTTGCAAATCTTTCTTTGCTTGGGGAGCACTTTTGCACATACACACATTTTTATTCACACACATGTTTTCGCTATTTCTAACATCGAATCCGAGGAAGAGTGACACTCACCTACACACATAATCCATATACACATTCGAGACCTATAGCTCAAGTGATCTCTTGCTAATTTGAGTTTTCTTGTGCCTCAGTTGAAATTTGTTTACTAGACCTAGAAATAGGGGACGATCTTATCTCACTAGATGAAAATAGTCTTCTACACTATTTAGAGAGGCTAAGAACACACCCTAGCCTCCCTAACATCCTAAGGCCAAAAATCTACCAAAGTTATCTTGTGCTTTCATCTTCTACCTTGAGGAATTAGAGAGGTCTAGTATAAACCACCAAACCTACAGTTGGAGAAGGAGATCTAAGGAGGATTTCAAGGGTGGATCGTGGTGATTGAGTGGAGCTTATAAGGAGTTATGTGTGGTTAAGTGGCGAAGAAAATTAGAGTACTATAAGTATTTTACATGTGGCATCATACCCCCCTTTTCCATTATAATAATAATCAATATCTCATGCCGTGTTTTAAATACTATGTGACCTAATTTAGTTATTATTATGAAAAAATTTTTTTTTAATTTTTATTTCTATTTATATAGCCAAAAATTTACACGCGATTTTAATTTTTCAAATGTTAAAGGAGGTCAAGAGATTGTTTTTTTATTTTATAGGGAAAGACTACGGTACTCAACATTGATATCATACCGAAAATTATAATTTTATAATGCCAAGCTATAATTTTTTGAGATTCAAGTTACAATTTGTAAAGGACATGATCAACGATCGATCATAAAAGTTATAACTTTCAAAAATTAAATTACAATTTTTAAATATTAAGTTACAACTATTAGTGGAGAAATTACAAGTGCTTGAGAGACCTCAACTACTTGAACCTTAAAAGGTGTAACCTTATCATTAAAACAAAAAACTTTTGGTAGGATACCCAATTTTTTTTTTAGTGCCGTAGACTTTCCTATTTTTTAAAATTTCCATTACTTTATAGGAAAAATCTCACTTTGTACATTGAAGAGATTGCCAAATCCTCACTTTGCACCCTGAATCAAGCATCACAACCAGATCTAGTACAAAATCAACCGATGTAGTTGTTAGAGAATATACACCGTCTATTTCTTCGAATTCGTAGCCCTAGAAGAGACATACTAAAGCTGCCTCTTTCTTTTTGTTTCTCTCTGAGTACACCCAAAATGTCAAGGCCGAAGGTTTCAACAGGTTCACAAGCACGCGGAGCTGTCATGTGCAATTCATATGAGTGCTCATCTTGTTCATTTACGATGGAGACCCTACTAAAACCTTGTCAAAAAAAAAATACGGTCAAATAAACAAAAGTTAGGTGTTCGTCCTAATTGTTACATTTTTATTTTTCAGCATACAAAGTGTAAATTTGACAACGTACAAAATGAAAATTTTCCTATTTTATAAACATGAGAGGTGGTTGTGTTATTTTTTGAATATTACGGATCGCCCTTCAAGTTTTGATTTCAAAACCCACCACCGACTCTCCTAGACTATTCCTTTGCTGCTGCTTCATTTCTTCTGTCTCTAGTTCTTCGCTGTCAAAACCCGACAAGAATGATCCGTCCACCACCTTCCACCACCCGCGCACCTACTATCTCCACCAACACAAGCCATCCAGACCATAAAAATTCAAACCCTCAAAGCAACACCAATAAAATTCAACTCAGCATTGATTCAAACATGGCAAATGTGACATCGTCTTCTTCGGCGGCAGTAATGGTCGATGGGTTGGAAGCAGACTCAGTTTTGTCCAGGTCCGAGTTCTTGACTCGGGAAGAAGTCCTGAAACGCCGGTCTCGCCGAGTCAAACAGCTTGCCAAGATCTACAGAGACCAGTACTGGGCTCTAATGGAAGAGCTCAAGCTCAAGTACAGAGAATATTATTGGCAGTACGGTAAAAGTCCCTTTCAGGAGGACGAGGACAGAGAGAACAACAAGAATTGCACACAAGGAACGGCAGAGAATGGCAATAACAGCAATAATAACGAGTATGCTGTGAATCAGTGTGGGGTCCATGGGTGTAAGGCCAAGGCCATGGCTTTGACCAAGTTCTGTCACATGCACATACTTTCGGATGCCAAGCAAAAGCTTTACAAGGCTTGCAATTACACAATCAAGAGGTTAGGGTTTTGATATTTCACGTTATTATGTTTAGTTATTTTAGTATAATTTCGTTGACCCCTTTTATGTTTACATTATTATTTGGTCTTGTGGTATTTATCTGTAGAAATATGCATATATGTATGGGAATTGATTTTGTGATGTATCCAGGTGATAGTTTGGGCATGAGGTTGTTTGAATAGTAGTTTGGGAAGTGATTTTCGGAAGTTCTCTATTTTGTGAATTAAAAGGGGAATCTGGGGAGTGTGTGGTCAACAAATCAGGAGGAAAAATGGTATTTGTGCTTTGGTTTGGAATTAGTATATAAGTTCGTGGTTATATATGGCTTGAGGAATATACATACATGCACACATATGTATGAGGGAGCAAGTGAGAGAGGACTTGGTAAGCCTTACTTGCCTAGTGGTGGCTCTGTGGACTTTGCAACATCTTCCCATGTGCACCCAAATCCCAACTCCCACCTGAGCATTGTTGAAATTTTTCTCTTTATGGGCTTAACAGATTTTTCGTGAAAAGTAAGTTTGAAGTGGTTAGCAAAAATAGTGAGAGGACTTAACTCATTTTTCTAAAAAATTGAAATTGGATTCGTTAGCAAATGGTGGGGGTGATTGCATATAAGCCACATGGAAGAGTTATACTGGAAGAAACCAACACCATTTCCCTCAAATAATTCTATAACGCAAGAATCAAGGTAATGGAGAAGGAAGGCTGGCTAAGCCTTTTTCTATAATTTATAATGTCGACAAAATTATATTTTTTTGGGATTAGAAACTGTAGATAAAGACATATGTTTGAGGATATAACGGAGTAGTTGTGGCGTTAGGGATAATAGCATGAAAGTAAGCCAACTGTATTTTGGGGTACTAAAATCCTAACATGCCTGGAAATTGATTTTTTGAACTGACTGCATACAGTAAGCCACTGGGTTTCCTTTACCGTTTCTTACATTTATGGGATAATGATTTGACTCCATAGCCAATTTCTTATGTGTACACTAGGATATGACTGCTTCCAAACAACTGAGCAGTATTAGGTTTGTTGTTACCTATTTTGTGGGTCGCTTAGGTACATGGTACGGGTTCAGATATGTGGTACAACACACTCTAAGGTATATTGTACGATTGTGGTAGGCTTAGTTGGTACGGTATTTTGTGTTGTAATTCGTTTTGGAACTATTTTTGAGATCTTTTTTACAACTATACAACTTTATATATCATAGAACAACCATAAATACTAAGTTACCTATCATATATTTTTGCTCGATTTTCTATTGTCTAAAATTAATATATAATTATAAATCTATATACATGTAGTCAGTTAGTATGTATTTTATATTTGTGTTGCATGTTTCAAAGCGAGTTGATTTAGGGTTAGTATTATAATTTAGAGTTGTACATTTTGGTAATAACTCACCCTGTTTGGGATCGACATACCCAGATCGTGGGTTGTTGGAGGTTTAGTGAATTCTGGTAACTATGTTTGTCAACTCCGTTGCTACATTGGTTGTGCTACGAAACACATAGTTTTTAGGCTAGGCATCTTTAGGATCAACTTTGTTATTAGTGCTTCCATTGCTCCTGTATCCGAAGACCAAAATCAACTTGTGATTCTTCACCAATTAGTAGAATTTGAGTGCTACTTCATCCTAAGAAGCATGGACATGGACATGGACATGGACATGGACATGGACATGGACATGGACATGGACATAGACATGGACATGGACATTGGACACGGATACGATCATACGACACGACACGAACACGCTGACACGACATTTGTCAAAAAAATAGGATACGGACACGCTACAAAAAAATTATATTTTATACAAGGATCAAAATATCGTTTCAAAACAGTCGAAACATCCGAAATGTTTTTATTTCCAAGGAGACCGAAACGAATCAGTGATGGAATCGAAATTCTAATACTGCGGGGTGTTCTATAATATTTCAAAATATTTTGTTATATTTCAAAATATTTTGTTATAGTTCAATATATTTGCACAATTATTTTGGAATGTTTCAAGATATTTCAAGATATTTTGGTATATTTTGACCAATGTTTTGAAAATATAATTTTTAAATTTTTATTTTTTTTCATTTTGTTTTCAAAACGGGTCGAAACTTTTTCGAAACATATCGAAACATTTCCGTTTTCTAGGTAACCGAAAAAATGTATCGAAACGAAATTTTGATTTTTGATTTTATATATAACATTATATAATTTATTGTAAATATAGTGATAATGATATACAATTCATAAAAAAATCAATATTTTATGATAAGAAAATCTAATGTCTAGTCATCTGTGTGAGTTTTTAGACGAAAACATTCTCATTATAGTCAATAATCATCAATTTGTTTTTGTAGACAATGTACTTAATATATAATTTAAATAATTGTTCTCACTTTCTCAATTCATCTTTTTTAAAATTTTTATTCATCTTTTGTTTTTATTATTATATTTGGAGTATAACTTTAATATTTTTAGTATTAGTAATTATATGTTTTCAAAATTTTAAGCTTTGTTAATCAAATTTCAACAAATGTCTATTGTTTAGTAGTAGACACGTTCTAAAGAAGTGTCGGACACGTTATCAAAGAAGTGTTCGACATGTGTTCGGAATTAAAAATTTATCATTTAATTATAAACACGGATAAAAGAGTATCGGATACGTGTTCAAGAGTGTCCGTGCTTCATAGACTTCATCTATTTTGTAGACTCAGCAAAATTTGAAATCCCTAAGAGACAAGGTAGTAATTATCTCAGGATTAAATCTCGATTTGTGTTGGGCTTATTGGACAATCGTCCAGCGACTCTTGAGAATGAATGAGCAGTTGGTGGGGAACTGGCTGTATGTCTCTGCCATACAAAACTTGTCTTGCATACTTTTTTTGAATCTTTTTATTTTGTGTGTAACAAAATGGTACGATAATGGAGAGGGCAATTGAAAATTCTAGGCATTTTTTTGAACAACATTGGGCAATTGAATCATTGCAATTCAGAGCACAGGTTTTATGATGATAAATTTCCTTTATTTGTTGTGCATTAACAGAATCTCTTTCTATGTTCAAGAGCATGATGATAAAGTCCTTTATTTGTTATGCGTTAAGTTCTTTCCAGGTACGTGTACCTTTTTTAGAATTTTGCAAAATAAAATAAAAATTGAGTTGATGGGAAGATAACCCACTTCGAGGGGGTGGAAATCTCCTGCAGTTTTCTTTGAGGAGAAACAAACGTCCAAAATTTTCAGAGGGAAATTAATGACAAATATCAACTACCTTTTCAATTAATTTTAATGTCTTTAAATGCAAAGTGATAATAGTAATAAATATAACTACCAAGCCCCATGACCCCACTACTTATGTAACTACTTGGAAAACTACCCACCTACGTCATACCACTAACACATTTAACTAAATAACCACTTAACAACTTATTCTGAAATTATATTCCAAAACAAGCAGATAATATTTCATTCCTCTTTTAAAAATTTGTCCCCAAAGTTTTAAAAAAAAGCTCTCCTATATTAAAGTCGAGTTTTTGATCAAATTCGACTTTCTCTTGAGGGTCCAGCTTTGTGAACTTTCGATAGCTAAATCAAATAAGGTTAGACAATTACCCAGGACAAAACAGAGGTTGCTACAAATTTTGCAGGTGTATAGAGGGGGAACTAACAAAGGAAAGGATAAAGATGAAAAAAATTGGGAGGTCCAAATAAAGGGAGAGGAAAAGCAAAGGCATTGCAAGTCAATGTGTCACTGCCAGAATTTGGGATGACTAATTAAGGAGGAGGTCGACCACTTCCATGTCCTCAATTATAATCGAAATAATCATTTTTTTCACTAAAAATCAATTGGACTGCAGCATTGAACTTCATAACACGTAAACTTCTATTCTCACTTAACGTACTGCTACGTATCCTTTTGCTTGATGCCTCATAAACAACACATTTTTCTTGTTGGACAGATGATTGATGGCATTGGCTCGCATTAAAAATTTCATTACGAGGGATATTCGTAATTTTGTTGAAGCTTCTTGCATGCATTCATTTTCCTCAATCAATCTCTTGAATGCTTTTGAAATTCATTGCACATTTACCTCAAAATCTCCAATTGTGTTGCCATTACTAGATCACCAGCTCTGATATTAATTGTTATGTTCACATTTTTTATAATTTTGCAAAACGAAATAAAAATAGAGTTGAGAGGAAGATAATCTGCTTCCCGAGGGGTGGAAATTTTTGGTGGTTTACTTCGAGTAAAGCCCAGCCTCCAAAATCTTCACTGGAAAGTTAATCACAATTATCAACTACCTTTTCCATTAATCATAAGGTCCTTAAGTACACAGCAATAATCACTATAACTATTACTACCAAACCCAATGACCCCATTACTTAAATAACTACCCACTAACACATTAACTAGATAAACACTAAGAACTAAAGCTGAAATTATGAATAAAAATAGGCACATAACATTTTTGTTGGCTAAAAACCGATCTTATATGTCGTTTCTGGAGTTTACGTTGTTGCATCCCAACTTATCATCAAAGCCCAAAGGTTTAGAACTGCGTCTGCTCATTTAGTCCTCTTTCACCTGGCTATTTCGCAAAACCCATCCTTAGAGTTTCCTTGGAGAATTTTTGCCCTACTTTTTCGTATGATATTTTCCATCAACACTTGAATAAGATTAGTTTATGATTTCCACCAAAAATGTTCCAATTCGTCCACAGTGTTTCAGCATGTTTCCATCAACACTTGTATTGTTTTTGTAGTTATTGCAGGTTCTCCCACTGTAATATCTGGTTCTCTAGCCTTTTACCTATTACGCAATAACTTTAGGTCCTTTTTATGGATACCATTAGAGAAATGGATTTTACTGTTGATCCAAATTTGTAGTTTGTATGGGTATCAGTTTGAGATATTTTACCTGGCTTATGATTCTGAAGTTCCTCTAAAACACCGAACATTTATTTATATGCAGTCCTGTAGCCTCTCTTTGTTACATATGCCCTTTTCTGTAATTTTCCATAATACAAGACTCAATCTCAAAAGTAAGTTGATAATGATCTGGTGTCTGAGCTAGAGATTAATGACTTGATTTTATTTCTGAATTCACTGGATTTCGTTAAAGTTGAATTACTACTGTAATTTACATAGCCCTGTAGTCTCTCCCTCTCGTATATGGGATTATAGCCAGTAGCCATTTTGCGAACAATTGGTTCCATGACGCAAGCTCCCAGAAGTATGTATCCTTTTTGCATCTGAATAACAAGTTTGGTCAATGAATATTATTCTGTCTGTCATCCTGATTTGAGTCTTTAGTCCAGTGATTAACATTGAAAAACTGCTGTCACTCTTTGATTTTTTGTATGTATGAAAGTGTTTCTATGCTAATTAATGTGTAAGGTCATGAATCACAGAGCCAAGATATTGAAAGCAAGCGACAAATAGGTTGAAGATTACCTTTGTTTCTAGAGTTTTATAATAATCTAGCCTTTAGTTATTTACATTAGCAACTGTTGTAAGTGCTTTCATTATGCACGGAGGATGACCCTATTTTGGTTACTTAATGTGGTATCAGACATGGTGGGTATCCACATGTACAGGCCTTACTGAGTTTGTGTTGTTTTTATCTGTGTTGGGCACCAACATTGCTGATTGTATTAGTGTAGATGGGCTATTTCATATTTAAAGATGGCTCACCAACTAGATTTTATCTATATATGCTATTAGAAATGCATTAAATGTTAGATTTTCAGCCTTACGATTTTATTTATATTGCTGAATGTATTTTCTTTTTCTGATTATTCATGTCCTTTTTTAACTTCTTACCAGTTCACCAACAGGGCCGATACTTTGCGGAAAGCCAATATTGAGATCCACCATTCCTTCCCTTTGTGCTCCTCATTTTCAGAAAGCTGAAAAACATGTCGCTCGGGCTCTTAAGAAGGCAGGTCTCAATGCCACTTCTACAAGTAAGCTTTCGCCCAAGTTCCATCTCATTGTTGCGGAATACGTCCACCAAATCCAAGCTAAAAGAAGAGCTGCACAGAAGGCAACTATAGAGAACTTTGAATCCAAGGAGGACAACAGTCTTAAGGTTGTGTAGTATTTGTAAAGGTTCTCTTTTGTATGACTCTTGACCAGTTGGTGCCAACAGATGGGTAAATAGTTGAATGAATGATAGCTCTGATTAACTGGAGCAAAACAAAGATTTGGATGGCATTGGGACTAGTGCATTGAAAGTTGAAATTTTGCATATGAAAGGTACCATACACTATCTCGATGCCTCAGTAATTGCTTTGAAAAATTTTTTCTTTTCTTTTTTCTTTTTCATTTTTGGATTGAGCTTCATATGATGCTTTTTGTTGCCAGGTTATTAGCCTGTAAATTGAGATTTACACTTAAAAGAAATTTAGTCTATATTAAGTGGAAGTAATTTTCTAGGAAAAACATGTATTTTTGGTGAAATGCCCAGATCTCTGAGCCATGATAAATTCTGGAGTTGTGCATGTATGTGTAGCACGTGTGACTTTTACCTCCTACTTTCTTGTTTGGATGAGCGGATTAAGTACGATTTCGCAGACAAGCCAATGACTTTTGATTCTCTGTCTCTCTCTCTCCCCACCAAGACATCTTTGAAAATGTGCCCTCTTTTGATACATTTACTAATGTTTGAGACTATGTTCAAATTTTTTCTTGGTTAAAAATAATGAGGAGAAGGATGATGAAAGATTTGGCTCTCTAAATTTAACAAGGCAAGTTTATTTAACCCTGTGACCAAAACATTACCAATAGTTTAGCTTCTTTGTGATGACATGCTCATCATCTTGGCTCTCTAAACTCATCGTCAAGAGGAAGAGATACAAAATATGGGTGTTTACACAGGTTGATTTGGAGAGCAAGAAACTGTAATTATTGACAGTTCTGTTTACCTGGAAGCTTGGAGTTTGAGAAGTGTGTTTTGATCATACCTGACACGATTATATACATGAAATTACAGAATGCACAATCTAGAGGGAGGTGAATAGGTTTTTTACACTTCAAACAGGAATAAATGCCCAATTAGGCCTAATAACTTCAATTATAAATTGATTAAACAAATTAAGTCTAATTAACCCCTTTCAGATGAATAAACCCTTTGAATAAATGCGTGGATGTAAAGTGCTCAATTTAACAATGTTAAACATCAATACAAATTTACCATCCTTGTCCCTCCAATAGCCCTTCCAACGATTCAAGATATAATAATCATATTATCAAAAACATGATGTGTGTGCACAAAATTTCATGTGTGTGCAAAATAAAGCAAGAGATCAATGACCACAACACAAAATAATTTTAATGTGGAAATCTTTTTGGAAAAAACTATGGGACTACTGTTGGTCCATATAAATCTAATCCACTATACTCAAAATTGGATTACAAAGTCCATGGCTAGATGCTTTCCTCCTTGTATCATCCATTCAGATTCACCACCGCAAGGTCTTGAGTACAAACTTCAAAGGGTGAATCAAGCTCCACAATCTAATTTCTCCTATTTCGATCTTCAAGTAATCCTCCCAAGATCTATTCCTTCACACATCGATGTGGGTTTAGTGGGTTTCTACTTGATCTCTCCTTGCTTTAATATTTGAAGGTGTAAAGCAATATTGATCTTGTAAATTTACGACCTTTTTGGTCCTAGGGAGGTTAGGGTTTGTTTTGAAGCTCTCTAGAAAGTCTAGCATTTTTCTAGTTCAACGAGGCTTTGAGAAAATAGTGTCCCACATAAAGGGTTAATAGCAGAAGGACAGTGGGTTTCAGATAAGGCACAAATAGAGATGATGGCAGTTGAATATTTTGAGCATTTATTCAATTCTGGTGATTCAACGTAAATGCGTAATGAAGATTCTGTAGTGTTGAACCGAAAGTTACTACCGAGACGAATGAAGGGTTGCTGAGAGAATTCCATCATTCTGAAGTTGTAAAAGCTCTAAACCAGTGTCTTCCATCTAAAGCTCCGGGTCCAGATGGTTTAGAAGTAGGTTTCTTTCAAAAATTCTAGAATGTTGTGGGAGAAGATGTTAAAAATGTGGTGTTAGACTTTCTGAATTTAGATAATTACTGCCCTAGGTTAGCTATACTCGCCTTGTTCTGGAACACAAGGTCCAAAATCCGGTGAACATGACTCAATTTTGCCCAACTAGTTTATGTTAACATGGTGCACAAGTTAATTGCAAAAGTCGTAGTGAACAGATTAAAAAAGATCCTGCCACACATAATTTTTAGAATTCCAAAGGGCATTCGTTCTTGGGCGCCTTATCACAAATAATGTTCTTATTGCTTATGAACTCAATCACCATTTAAAGAATAAAAGGCAAGGAGGAAAGGCATATATGTCCCTTAAATTGGATATGAGCAACGCCTATGACAAGGTGGAGTAGGGATTCTTAGAAGTAATGATGGACAGGCTGGATTTCGACAAAAGATATACTAACATTATTATGACATGTGTAAGTTCAGTCTCCTATTCCCTCACAGACAAAGGAGAACAAATGGGTCTCTTTCTACCAAAAAGAGGTATACGGCAAGAAGACCCATTATCCCCGTACGGCACTTCTTCAGGATAGGGGAAGAAAGGGTAGTATACAAGGAATGTCTACAAGTAGAGGGGGAGCCATCGTTTACCCACTTGTTCTTTGTAGATAGTTTTCTATTTGCAAGACACGATGGAAAATGGTGACACAATTAAAGGTTCTCTCAAGACTTGTGGACTCGTTTCTGGGAAGATTATTAGCTTTCCAAAGTTGACAATAGTTTTTAGTAATAATGTGGCAGAAATTATAGTTAACACCCAGCAGGTATCGAGGGTAGAAACTCATGACAAATATTTGGGTCTTCCATGCATTGTTGGGAGAACAAAGTGAGAAATTTTTGACTCTATCCGAGAAAGTTTGGCAAAATTTGCAAGGGTGGCAGGAGAAAATTTTGTCAAGAATAGGTAAAGAGATCATCATTAACGCTGCAGCCCAAGCCATCCCAACGTATGCTATGTCATGTTTTAAAATTCAAACCACACTTTGTGCGGAATTAAATAGCATGATGGCTAAGTTTTGATGGGGGAATTCTGGGGTGACTAACAAGATCCATTAGTTTTGTTGGGAGAGACTATGCAGACCAAAATCAAAAGGTGGTATGGGATTCCAAAATATAGAGATCTTCAATCAAGCCCTCCTTGCTAAGAAATTTTGGCGTTTACTTCAGAACCCCTCTTCTTTGATTGGAAGAGTGTACAAGGCAAAATAATTCCTGTCCTCTTTCATCATGGATGCCCACTTAGGAGCCAACCCTACTTTTACATGGCGAAGTATATTTGCCACTAGAGAATTTGTTGATGAAGGGCTACGTTAGAGAATTGGAAATGGATCGAGTATTAAAGTGAAGGGAGATAGAAGGATCCCTAGGCCAACTTTCTTTAAAGTAATTAGTACACTTCCAGATATGAATGAAAATACTCTGATAAGCTCACTGATCGACACAGAAACCAGAAGTTGGAATCTTGATCGCCTTAGGAATATGTTCTTGAACTTTGAGATGGAGGAAATACTAGCCATACCTATATGCCAAGACCTCCCAAGTGATCGTCAAGTGTGGCACTACACAATATTGGGACAGTTTACAATGAAGAGTCCTTATCACATGATAATGGCGCTCAAAAAGCAAGGAAGAGGTTAGCAGTACTGAAGGGAAGTGGGTAGGTAATTCATTTGGGTTTTTGAATATTCTGAATAAAGTTAAACTCTTTGGTTGGGGGATTTTCCATGACATTACCAACGCAATGCAATCTTCGAAGGAGAAGAATTTCATTGGAAAATTACTGCTTCTCTGTGGTGGTGCTGAGGAAACTACTATTCATATCTTTGTTTCCTGTCCATTCACAATGCAGGTATAGCAATGTTTGACATTCAAGCTACCTACAGGCTCTGCCATAACAATTTAGGACTGGATGCTGCTTGGCCATGGTAATTTATCTGCTACGGAGGTTGGTTTGGTACAATAGAAACAGAGCCCGTCTGGAGCAGGAAATTAATTCCCCAAGTCATATTGTAAAGTTTGTAGTCTCCTACCTAAGCCAATTCATGGAAGCCTAAGAAGATAGACAACTGGACCAAACTCAGCAATGCTTTTTGGATTTGTGTTGTGGGTCTGCTCCCCCGAGGGGGTTTATTAAAAGCTAATTTCGATGGGGCTACATTCAGTTCAATAAAGGCTTCCAAAATAGGCGTGATAATTAGAGATTGCACTGGAAATTTCATTGCAGTTCTGAGCAAACAGGTCAATTGTCTCTTGACGCGATTGAAGCAATGGTGGCACTTGAGGCGATCAAACTCACTGTGGATCTTGGTTATGACAGAATGGTGCTCGAAGGTGACTCAAAATCAGTAATTGAGGCCTTAAAGCATAGGGTACCAGATTTATCTGCAACTGGGAATTTTGTTGAATAAATCCACTCATGCATTGTCCAACTTGTTGATTGCACAATCTCTTGGGTCCATCATACTAATAATGAAGAGGCAAATATGTTAAAGAAAGCATTGCATTGTATTGAAATCTACATGTTGGATGGAAATTGTCCGGATTTCCTGTTCTCCCCCATCCCCTCTCATGTTGATATTAGTTAGTTATCGTAACAAATGCACTTGTCATTTTCTATATCTATATATATAAAAGTAATTAGACCCAAGAAAACTCAGATTTGCGATAGATTGCTCGAGCTATGAGAGGGAGATGGTTACTAGAATAAAAAAATGTATCATTCCAGGACTTCAGGGGGACACCGCTCGAGCCATTCACCTACCACTCGAATCGTCATGGAGCCGTCTCCCCAGATTTTTCAGTTCAGCCTTCCTTAGTCTTCAGAGACTGCTCAAGCCATAGGGCAGCGAGCATAGAGTGAGTTGTACTAATTTTTAAGCCTAAAAATAAGTAAAAATTTGTCCTATTGAACACCAAGGGGTGTTTTTTAGTAAGGGTCTGATCCATTTCTCAATTATATTTTCAGAACAACATTTGATGTTTCAAAAGTATTTTCAGTAAAAATCCTACGAGTCATGCACATAGTAATTCTAAATTCAATTATTTAAACCTAAGTAGTCAATGTAAAAATAATAAGGGTAACTTAAGGTTTCTAAGGTCTTTATCTTTCATAAGCTTTAAAGGATCTTGGGAAGTCTTCATGATGTGACTTTGTAGCTTGAACTTCTTTTTTCTAGCTTTGGATTTTTATCTTTTTACTCTCATGGCAATAGATCTAGTTGAGACTTACATTGTGACCTCATGGATGGATTTAGCCAATTACAATTAGCAATTTCCCAACAATCTCTCCCTTGGGCA